TATATTCTATATTTTACATCTTTTTTGTTTCTTATTAATTAATACATTATATTTAACTATTAGTGCTGGCTGCGGTCGAACAGGAACAATTTGTTCAATAGATTATGTTTGGAGACTAATGAAAATGGGAGTAAGTAATATTTTTAACAAAATAATTTTGATTTTTAATAAACTTTTATTTAATTTTTAACATAATTTAACATAAAATTGTGAATTGTTAATAATATGACAGAAAAAGTTATTTTATGGTAATTACAAAAGTATCATTAAATAATATTATATGATTGATATTATTTGAAGAAATAGAAGTTTTTGCAAAAATCATAAACAGAAGTAAAATTGATTTCAAAAAACCTTAGTTGATGGAAAATTAATTGGTTTTTCTTTTTTTCTTTCTATTCTGAGGCAATAAAATAATGATCATCAACTTTTCTGACCTCACAGACCACTAAACTTACAATTTTTAATTCCATGGACCACTATCATAAATTTTTTAAAATGATATAAATGTCTATAGAATAATGATCACAAAAGTTACATTTTAGTTCACTTTATTAATATGAAATTCACTTGTTTAATTACAACAAATTAGTGTAAAATTTGTTGCTGCTTGTTTTAAATAAATTTATGGATCTTTTGCTCTTTTCCATAAAGGACAACAGTTGCACTCACAACATTACTTATTGATTTATTGACATTATTATTTATTGATAAGTCATTTTGTATTGGGTTTTGACTCAAATAAAAAACCTCAATGAGTGAGAATAAGCAACCAAGCATTTTGCATTTCTTTCATAATACTTTGCATAACCTTGAGTTAATCAATGTCCAAATTTCTCCACAGATTATCAAAATTTTCTCATAGACCAACAGTTGGCAACCTCTGTAATAAAAGAGCCTATTGAGATGTTCACTAGAAGTTTGGCTGATACCCTAATGGACCAGCAAATAAGAAATGGGGCCTGATAAATCCAAACAAAATTAACTATCAGAAATTTCTGGGACTCTTGAGCTGGTTTAAATATGAACCCAGGTTGCTCAGAATAGCAGACAGATACTTTTGGAACCTCAACTATTCAGCTTACTTCATGACTTCCTGTTAATAATTATAATTATTTGGAAAGCTTTGAACTAAATTCCAAGGCTTTCCAAACTTTTATGAATATTTTTCTTTAAGAACTTTTATGAAAAATAATATTTTAACAATATTTCATGCCCTGTATCATTTAAGTTTTATCAATAAAATTTACTTTTATTAAATATGACAACATAAAGAATTAAATAAAAAGTAGATGATGGTATATAACATAGATTGATAACCTGTGACAAGTGGAACAATTTTTAATGGCATGTAACAGGTTACAAGCCCACAGCATAGGAAGATCAAAAACTGAACATGAAATAATATCTAAATGTGTTACATTTATAACTTGCTGACAGTTCAAATTAGACTCCATTCATTTTAATTAATTTTTTTGTATATTCTCTATACTGCTCAACTTTTCCAAACTTTACATTATTGTGTTTAGATTCATTATAAATTTGTTCAATACATGATTCACAGATAATGATTCAAGCTTTATGAGATTTATACATTCTTGGCGTGGACATGTAAAGCAAAACAGAATAGTAATTCATAAGAGTACTTTCTAAGACCAATTCATTATTTTTTCATACCTGTTTACTATCCATAAAAATTATTAACTAAAAGATTGTAATAGGAATATGAATATTATTTCAAATCAGAAGACTTACAAAATCAGTCGAGTCATTAACTAATAGAAAAAGACATTAAGTTCTACTTTGAATAGTAATTTTGATTAAATATGAAGTTTATTGGTGATAAAATAAACATCCCAATTAAATTCAGTTTCTTGCCTTACTTGAAGCAATATCTATTGTTTCTTTGGTAACTGTAATGATGATTCAAGCTTTGAGATCAGCAAGATTTATATGCAAGGGTGAAATAAACACTGGACCGTTAATGAAATCCTAGAAGAAAAAATCAAGATGTGTTAAATCTAGGAACTAAGTTGGCCATGCTATCAGTTCTGCTTGATGAATACCAATCTGAGAAATGTTTGAGGAAATTCTGAATATTTATGAGTAATGGAGTGATGCACTGTCTTGCTGAAAGTGTGTGTCATTTGGTGTCATAGTTGTTTAACTGTGGAATGAGAAAATTTTCTAACATTTTCAGATACATAGTATAGTCAATAGTTTTCTCATGGAAAAAGAAGGGGCTAAACACTTTTTGTCACAAGCAGAAAACACATTTATTTTTTAACTGCAAAGAACATATTCCTCAAATGATTGTGGATTTTCAAAGCCCCAAATCCTATGTGTTCACTTTATCATTGAGTTGAAAGGTTAAATCATCACTGAAAATAATGTTATCCAGGAATGTCTTGTCTTTCTCAATCTGATGCCACATTTCTGTACAGAATTTCTAACAAGTAATTTCTATCAGGAATTTTTCTAGGAACATTTCTGTAGACAGTTTATGCACTAAAATTTAAACTTTTGTGAAATGTTTTGACCTATTGGGAAATGGCAGATTAAGTTCTATTGTAAACTGGAATTGGTGCCTGTGTGAACTGGATGTTTGAGCATGCACAATGCTAAAAGATCACGTCTCTCACTCATACAAATGATGTCTCTCATAAATTATATTACTGTTTTGTTTATTTTTTTCTTTTGGCTAAAGTAAAATTACTTTTTTGGCACTATAAACCATTGCAGTGTACTGTACATAGTATATTTATTTTAAAAAATCACTAATTTTTCAGAAAATTTTTTAAAACAGCAGTAATACATAGTCTTGGAACAAATTACAAATTTAACATTTGAAATGGAACCAAATTTCGAGCACTTGATGATCATGAAGGATTAGTTGATCCAATTATTTACAAACATGGGGATCAGTGTATTTTTTTAAATTAAAGCATGATTTTACTGCAGATCTCCAAGAAATCATGTATGATGAAAAATTGCATCATATATAACATCATAAGCATGAGAACACTTTTAATTGGCTGACAAAGTCTACTGAAAATTTTGACAGTTTTATCATATAAAAAGTCTGATTGTTATTTTGAATGCTGAAGGTTTATCCTCTCATGAAATAGCACAAATATTGCATTGTCATCAATCAATAATTGTGCTATTGTGCAAAGGAGAGATGGACATGACAAAATTGAAATAAAAGCTGGATCAGGAGTTAAATGTGTGAGTATACTGTGCCAGGATAAGATGCTGAGATGTTTTAGTCTTCAAGAACATGTAGAGTTGTAAAAGCAAGTGAACTGAGCAACATTGTTTGTCAACATGGATTTGAAAGCCTAACTTCCACATAAGTTGTTGTTACTGATGAGTAAAATGTGCAGACATTTTTACTTATCAGTAATGGCTTATTTGGACTAAATTTCAACACTCCAATCTGCATGCTCTATGATATTCTGTTATGTTTTTAGATGAATTTAAATTTAACCTGCATGAATCTGACAAAAAACTCTCTTCTAAGTGTAGAAAAAATGATTCTTGATTGCTTGATGCAAACATTAGTGGAATACATAGTCACTAAATGTGTTGGCAGACTACACTTTTATAAATGGTTGTGTGAATGCAGATGTGCTATTTTACTTTCATAACTGTGAATGGAAAGTTCTTGCAACAGTGCTCATTAACAGTATTGGTGAAATATGATGAGAAATAACATTTATGAAAGTTCAGTGGAGCAATATATCTAATAAATTGCATTTTTTGGTATAGTTGTCTTCATTTCTTCTTGTACTACATAAGTTTTCATAAGTTATTATGGTAAAATATTATAATTAAATTTTTTAATTATAATTATTAAATTTAGCAAGAGATGGCACCTAATGCCTACCTCTAGTGCCAAATTACTTAACACTTAATTAACAGTAGTAGTAATAATAATAATAGCCTAATATAATCTAACAATCATTTGGCTTTAATACTTAACTATTGGGTTTAAGATGGTTATATGCATACTTTTGAATACTTTTTGGTGTGTAATGCAAGTGATATGATTTCCATGGCCCCTAACTACTGTATATTTGAAATTATTAAATTTTTAACCATTTTTGAATTTTTATTTTATTTTAAAATATAATTATTAAGTAAAATTTAACCATATTCAAATGAATATCTTTTTGAATACTTTTGAAATGATTTTTTTTATTTACATACAGAAGCTGACTGAATTCTTTAATTTATATGAAATTATATCAAAAATGCGAAAACAAAGGATTGCAATGGTTCAAACAAAGGTATGAATTTATTAGCAATATTCTTAAATTTTGATATATTTTTTGATTCCATTAATAACTTTTCTTTCTTTCTTTGAAGGAACAATATATTTTAGTACATAGAGCAGTAGCTGCACTATTTGAACACCAACTTGAGTTAATTGATAATCATATTTATGAAAATTTAGATGAAAATGGCCATCCATTGCTAAAAGACACAGAGGTATATTTTGAAATAAGTAAATTAATAATAATCTCAAGGTTTTAATTGAAAATTCTTTCAGATTTTAAATTCACATGAAGCAATGAATGAAGAAAATGAAAATTCTTTTGAAATGAAAAAGCAAGATTATACTATGGGTAATTTATCATTTATATAGTGATTATCTATTATTTTTTTAATATTAAAATTGTAGAAAAATTATTTTTTAGTTGTTATCTTCATTTTAAAAATTTTCTGTTGAAAAATTTTTAAGGCTTTAATTCATATTCAATTGATTATAATTTGTATGTGTATCTTGTCTACTTGGACCTTGTTCATTAATAAAACTTATTATACTGTTTATACTGTGTAGTTTCTGATTAGCAGATAGAGGAGATCTTGGTTAAAAGTCAAAACATCTTTGTTTTTGCCTGAAAATAGGTAAAAATAAAGATATTTTGTTTTGACTTTAATTTTGTTCTATTAATAAACAAGATTTAAGTAGACAGGATACACACACAGATTTATAAGAGTAAGGACATAGAGATAAAATGAATTGATTATAATTTACTTTAAAATGTTCAAACTTCTTTTCCTCTGAAGTTTTAAACTTTCCAAACCCTTTATTTTCACTCTTAACTTATTTTCATTGTGCTATCCTCATCTTAACATGTAGTTTATAAACTATTACAATATTTTTTTAACTCAATATTTTTGATAAACTTTATGGTTATTAATAATTTTTATAAAAATGCCTTAAGGTGATATATATGTATTGTACCATCAATAGGTTTTGACAAACAATCCAATGCATTCTTACAAATTAATAGGTGGCATCAGTTAAAATAGTCAAAAATAGATCTACATATTTAATTTAAATCCAAAATTTATTTAGGAGAGGTTTTGGAATTTTTAAAAATGCAAAGAATTCTATTTGTTAAAATGTAAACATAATATTTATTAACAAAATTTCTTTTCAGCCATTATTCATTTTAACATTAAGATTATTGTTTAAATTATTTTTACTTTTTAAAATGTAAATATTTTCTTTAAGCTTTGGAATATGTATCCACTTCATAATCCAAGATTTTAATGTTAACATTATTTTTGTCAGTATTACAATCATATGTCATAATGATTGTGAAAGATAAAAATTCTATTTTGCTTTAAGTTTGAATTAGTTCTTTTACTTTTTCAATCATTATTTTGTTTCTCTGATATTAGATTATTGCATATACAGTACAAAGAATACAATAGAATTATTATAACATATACATCAACCCAATTTAATTACTAATGTCAAATGAATTGCTGAATTATTCATTGTGCTATAACAAAGCTAATTTACTGATTAAATATAACTGGCAATGCATCTTCACAGTAAGTAGGAGTTGCAATATAAGTCCTGCTCATGATCAATTTTTTCTTCCAGAATATTGTAAATTTAAATCAAATCTATTTTGAATTATTAAATTTATCATTAGATGGCAGCCTAACTGTCTACTTATAGGCAAATTTCTTTATCATTGAATATTAAATTAGCTTTATTACATCATTCTATTTTCAGATTTTTGGATTATTACACAGACAAGAAATACAATAAATTTATTAATACAGTGATACCTCGGTTTTCATTGATAATTCATCCAAAAACAGTCAGCAAAATTTGAAACTGATGAAAATCAAAGCAATTATTTCCATATAAATTAATGTAAAACCAATTAATTCATTCTAGACACTCCAAAATACATACCAAAAACACATTTTATAGAGAATAAATACAGTGTTTAATACTAAAAACAATAAGAAATTAATATAAAATGAATACAAAAGTGGCTGATTTAAGCAATCTTTGTCACTCTTGTATTTTTCAATGATTTTCTTCTTCAACTTCGAATGTATTCCAGGCCTTCTTCTTCGAAGGACTGCTGGCTCTGGAAACTTTCTTTGGTCCTATGATGAAGCAAAAAGGAAAGGGAAGCAATGGAATTGCTTGGCTAGAGGTGTGGGATAATAATGCTCACACAAGAAGAAACAACACCACACTGAACAGGAAAATACATGAGTTGCCCTTTTCGCAAAATTAGCAGTCGTGGGCACGCTGATGAAATCCGAGACAAATTTTTTGCAAAAAAAAAAAAAAATAGACAAAAACAGAAACCAAAATCAACAAAAACCAAGGTATTACTGTACCAAACAAACTGCTGACTATTCATCATGTTCATAATAATTGTGTATCAATTGTATATAAATAACAAAACATGCTTTTTAAGTAGAAAAAATTTTTTAAAAATCAAAATATTAAAGTGACATTCATAGTATTATATAGAATATATAATAAGTAGACATGTTTAATAAAGTTATCATTATTTTTAAATTGTTTTTTAATAGTAATCTTCAGATGAACAAATATTAGTAACTGAATAAAATTAGATTTAAATAGCATTTTCAGATTATTAAATAATTGTTCCTTAAATGTTTTGAATATTAATAATAATTTATTTTATTTATAGATTTTAAGAAAGAAACCATAGAAAGTTCTTTGAGTGAAGAATCTGATACAACAATTACAAATGATGACTTAGAAAATACAAATTATGAAAGTTTTGATGTTGGAAATGAAACAGCAAACAATATAAATTATAGCATAAATGATTATAATTGTGATCAGAATGTAAATTTTACAATTTCATTGCCTCTTAATCCAAGTAAAACCTTTACAGATAATTTATCAGTTTCAACTACTATAACATACAATGATGATAAAATTTTAGTAGATTCAAAGCAAAATGAAAATAAAAATACATCAAGTAATATTAATGAATGTGGTTCCCATACAAATGAAACAGAATTAGACAGTAATAGAAACAATTTTACAAATACAGAAACTGAAATCAATCCATCTTTCTGTATTCCATGCGAAAAGGAAGATAAATCTTCTGAAAACAACTGCAATAATTTGACATATAAAACTAATGACATTGAAGAAATATTTCTTCAAATACTTAATGATGACAACAGACAAGCAACTGAAAAATTAGATGATAAGGCTAAATCAAATAAAGATGTATCATCAAAAACAGTTCAGACAATAGAAAACACAAATGATGGCAATAATGAAATGACTGAAGAATATTTTAATGAAATGTCAGATCAAAATCCTGTAAATATATTTGAAAAAGATACTGTATTGCATAATTTAACAAGTGAATTGGCATTAGCTAGTAGACAGCGCTATATTTGTTTAGTTACAGAATGTGAGCAATCTTTTTCTGAAATTGAAAGATTGCTGGAAGAAAAGAATTCTGAAAATTCAGAAAATTTAATTTCAAACAATAATAGTAAAGAAATTTTAAGATTTGATCAGATTTTCCAGAATAACAATCATGTATTGGAAGAGATTGAAACAAAAAATATGATACATCCTTCATTTAATGACAGAAGTGACAAATTTATTCAAGAGAAACTAGAAACTGTTAACAATAATGATTTAGATTCATTAAATCCTAAGAATAGTGATTTAATAAATGAAATTAAAACTGTTGAACAAACTATAGATTATAAGATAAATTATTTGAAAGAAAGAATTGATTATGAAAAAGGAGGCATAGAAGAAGCATTAATGAAAAAACAAAAAGATAGTGAAGAAGCAATAGAATTTATTGATACTTGTAGTCAAGAAATATTAGGTAATGAATGTGAATCATTACAAAATCAACAAAATGTTAATCATTGTATTGAAAATAAATTAAATGAAAACAATGCTGAGAATTATGAAAATACAAATAAGTATGAAAATAATGAAAAGTTTTCAAAATCTCTACACTATACAATAGAATTATCTAATTCAGGAATCAATAAGAAATCTGAAGAATTTAAAAAGATTCTTGCTGGAAGACGCATTGGCAAAATATTTGAACCTGAGCATGATCATTTAAATTTTAAACAAGAAAGATGTTCAAGTATTTGTATAAGTAATTTTCAGTGTGTTGATGAAAAACAAGATGTTGAAACTAGTTTAAAAGGTAAAGAAAATTGCAATAATACTAACAATACTTTCCTTGAATCTAAAAATTGTGAATATGATGATTTCGCTAATCAATCTTCTGAAAATGAAAAATCTGCCGTAGCTCAGAAACCTAGTATTGCAAAATTAAAAGCACTTTTTGAAAAACCTATAATAATTGATGAAAATACTCGTAAGTCTAAACAAAAACAAAGTCATCCACTCTCTAGAAGTCATAGTCATCACATCCATTCAAATAAATCTGATATTTTATATTCTAATGAGAAAACAGTTTTAAAACCAACATTGTTTAACAAAGTTTCAAAAATATTTCATGCTCCTTCATACGAAGAACATAAAAAAATACACAATAGTAAATTAAATGCTTATAAATATAATGAAGGCACAGAAACTACTGCTTTACCAATGGAAGTTCGTGAGCAATTCTCAAATGCTAATGAAAGTAAATCTCAATGGTATGATGATTCAAAAAAGCCATATTCAGATGTAAATCTTTCTTTGAATTCTGAGGATCATTTACAGTTAGACAAAAACTCAATGACTGAGATAAATAGAAGAAATTCAGAAAATGCTGAAGTTGGATGTTTGGATATTTCTTCTCTGATGTCTTCCATTATTTCAGGTGAACAAAATATCAATCAAACACAGTGGTATGAACAGAATTCACTTTTATATAAAGATGCTAACAAAAAAGATAATTTCACACAAAATATTTCAAAAGAAAAATGTACTATTAAAGAATATAATAATAATGAACAAAGTTCTTTGATATCTGATTGTTCAAAGGGAAAAGAATCAAATAAATTATATCAAACAAGTGCTGTTAATCTACCAGAAGCAAATAAAAACAAGCTTCAAAATATATCTTTTAATTCCTGTCAAGAAGCTAATCATAATGAAAAACAAATGTCCACTGATAAATTGGAAGCTACAACTAAATGGTATTTCAAAAAAGAAAGTGATAATGACATTGAAAATAGTAATATGAATGATGTAAATAGTGATTCAGAGTTACAGTCTTGTCAAAATATAGTAAGAGCTCAGCAGGAAAATATCGGTAATCTATCTCAAAATATGACTGAATCAAATCTTGATTCTTTTCTTAATCAACAACCACCCCTTCCACCAAAAAAGAAAAATGACAAACCAAAAAATAGTACTAGTTGGTATTTAAATGAAAACTCTCAGCATTTAAATATGAAAAGTAGTACAGGAAATGTAGATCATAAAGAGCATGTGGCAGCATATGCAAATGTAATTAAAATGAAAAATGGATCTCTTATAGAAACTAAAGATTTGAAAAAATCAATATTGTACAATCTAAATGAAGAAAAAACTGATTTATATATGAATGTAAATCCAACAACGAAAAAAAATATTGAACAAATTGAAAATTCCTTACAGCAACATCCAAGAGGTGCAATAATTGACCTCACATCTCGGCAGTCTTTTGCAAATGAACAACAAATGGCAAATAATACTGAACAAAATGTTAAAGAGGAGAAAGGAGTTCTTTCCTCAGATTTTAAAGGAAAATTAAAGGAATATAAAAAAGTAAATCCTCCAAAAAAACTTAAAGGTTATGAAACAATATGGCCTCAAAAGAGTAATGATAGTCAATTTGACAATAGTAATTTAGATAAGAAGTTTGCATCTAATAAAGATATATTAAAACAACAGAAGAATTTTGAATTATTTCAAGAAAAGTCTGCAGAATGTAAAGAAAAACCTCAGCCAAAACCTAGATCATTAACATCAGATAAACAAATAACTAAATCAAAATCATCTTCAAATATCTTCCCAAAACAGTTTAATGTGAAAAATTCAGTATCCGATTTTACTAGATTTAAAGAAACATCTGTGAATAAAGTTGTTTGTGAACTGAATAGTATTTTGAATGTATTGACAAATCGTCCATTTAAATCTTCAAAACCTGAAACCTCTGTTACAGAAAAGTCTACTTGTTTATCATCAGAAACTTCTCAGAAGATTCAGCCATCTGCTCCACCTCGTAGAAAATTGAAACAAGACATTACAGACTGTCATTTGTATAATTCTGAAGTAAATTGTCCAGATAAATCAAATTATATCAATAGAAAAATTAATGATATTCATAATGTTGAATCAAATGTAAACCAATTATCTAAATCCACAACATTACCAAATATTAATCATTTAAGTTCGAGAACAGCAAATGAAAGTGTGAAAGAAAATAATGATAAGATTTCAGATTTTGAATCTTCTAAATTTACTCAAGATTCTAAAAAACTTTATTCAGTTTATGAAAATATTGATTGTAATCAATTTAATATTCCACAAGTAGAAAAACAAGAATCAGCAGATAATTTTAAAAGTAAATTATATAAATTAAAACACTCGACATCAGATGCAAGTGTGTTTGCAGTTTTAAGGAACACAAAATATCGCAAAAATAAATTATCTACAGATATGTCAATCAAATTAGAAAAGAAATTAAATGATGATGAAAACCAAACAAGAAATTTAAATGAAAAACACAAAATAATTGAAAATAAGTCTAATAATTTAAGTGAAAGTTCAAAACAGTCGTATCAAATAATTAAGAAACCCGAAAGACGTTCCATGGATGATATGGATATGTTTCCAGTTGCACCACCAAGATCAAAACGCCATGGTCCAACTTTAAAAAGTGTTTCAGAAATGGAAAAATTTACCAAAAGTTTAGATGAAGGTAAGCATATATTTGTTGTTTTAAAATAGAATTTAAATATACACTCATTGACAAAAAGTTACACACCAAGGACTGAATCAAATGAAACTTTATTAGAGCAAACTTGATGATGGTAATAAGTGATTACAATATCATAGTAAATGGACAGTTTCATCTGAAACAATGATACAGTTTAAAACCTTTATACAATTTTTAAAGCTTTTACTAACTTGAAATTCTACATTGGCAAAATATTTTTAAATTATGTAGACAAACACCAATTTTAAAAGTTTAGATAAAGTGTTTTAAACTTTACTTGTATTTAAAAAATTTAGGCAAAAATTGAAAAATAATATGTGAAGTAACATATACATATCAATTAAATATACATTGTTTTCATGTAATACAAAAAAGAGAATTCCAAAGATGATTAATGTTACTCCAGATGAAAATTTGAATCAAAGTTTTCATAGTAGAAATATGGCATTCTTCTACTCAGTCTTCCAGACAATTATTTATATATTTATTCCCAACTGCATTCTTGTAATCAAATATTTTGATTTTCATTAGTATGTTTATTTTTTATTATGGTAAAATTCAAACAAGGAAATTTACTCTCAATTTACAATTATAAACATATTTTTGAAATTTAAACATAATTCAATTTAACAATTGAAAGAAGAAAAAATTTGATGTTACTTTCAATGAAAGCTGATGGTGGTTTAGCAAAAGCTGATATTTATCCTAAAAAAAATAACAAAATTTTAAGTTCATGTTACCCAGTGATAATACAGTATAATTAAATCTTCAATGTTGCAGATTTGTTTCTTATGTAAGTTTCTTCATACTAATCATATATGATAACAACAATATTTGAAATTGATACAAAAAATAATATAAACAAATATTTTTAAGATGAAATCTTGGAATAATAATAAAATTCTTAAATACATCATGTAAGCTTTAAAATATTCATGAATGGTTTGAGTCATGCCATAATGTTCTATAATTTTAGGATTTAAATGTTTAACCTGAAGATGATTACAAAAAATAACAGAAAATGTTATAGTTTAATCTACAGAACATTAAAATTTTTGAACTTATATTTTGATTTTGCACCTAGTTTGATTTATGTTAATTTTCTCTCTTCATTAATTTTTATTCAATCTTATAGTACTTAGATAATTTTCATTGTAAGAAATAATTGCTATTATATTATATTATATATAATTATATTTAACATTTAGCATAATAAATGTAATTAACTATTTAAATTATACAGTTATAATTTTTTAATTAATATTAAAAAATTAATTTTAGTTGGATTAAAGCCTGTGATATCTACGGATGCTCTGAAATCTTTAAATTTTCCCTCTCAGGTATATTGAAAATTTTTTAAATACTAAATTCTTTAAGTTTTAAAAAAATCTCCTAATAAAAACTTTTACTTTCAGCAAAGACTTCAAAGTAACTATGCAAATAATGATACATCTAACTATACTCAATCAGTTTCTACAAGTAAGAAATTTTATTATAATAGATATTTTTAGTAAATAAAACATTTTTCTTTGAAAATGTTTTATAAAAATATTTGTAAACAACAACTTTACAACTTTACAAATATTTTATAAAAATATTTGTAAAGTTTATAAATATTTTTCAGATTTAACATTTATAAGATAACGATTTTAGTTACAGATTGTATTTTGTAATTCTCAGTTACATTTATAGTATTTATTGAAACTTTAGTTAAAGCATTTTATTTATACTTAAAAAGAAATTGTTGAAAATTTATTTATTTTATTTAAATTTCTTATGACTAATTACACTATCATGATCAATAATTGTGTGATTCATTTTATAATTAAATTGGCTATAATCTGGCTTTTTGTCTAGAAATGATCTAGCCAAAGCCCAAGATTCCCTACTGGTTCTGAATAAAGACTTACTAAGTGCCAGAAACTCACAAGCATCACTGATTCTGGAGCTTGGGAAATGATCCTCAAATAAACAGAATAGTTTTCCAAGCTGAAGCTGAGGACTTCTCAGAAGAATCAATAAATCCTGTTTAGAGTGAGATTTTTTGACGTATGTACATTTTAGATTTCTTTCGTAAGATTGTGATAAATTAACGACCCTTTCATTGACATGTGTTAGCAGATTAGGGTTATTAGGCAAGCAAGACGTAGAACATACGCTTTTTTATGTAAGCTTATAAAAATGGAAAATGATCTGTACGAACAAGACCCTAATCTGCTAACACATGTCAATGAAAGGGTCGTTAATTTATCACAATCTTACGAAAGAAATCTAAAACGTACATACGTCAAAAAGATCAAATGGATATTCCGTTGCCAAAATATTAGAGTGAGATTCCTTAGCTAAAAATCTTCATGCATCTAGAACTACTAGAAACATTAGAAATGCTTGAGCAGAATTTCCTCTATGGTCTTGCCCTTCTGGGAAGTTTATTATAAAGATCTCACCCAGTCTTCAGTACTGGGTGAGGTTTTTACAATAAACCTCCCATTCACCAGTTTTCTTAGTTTGGTTGAATAACTTCTGAGTAGAGGACCTCAAAAGGCTCAACTTCTTGTTCTATCAAGGAACAAAATAATAAACGATCTTTTCTTGACTAGGACAGCTAATAATGTAGGACTTGAGAATGTGCTGCTGCACAAAGTCAACAACCAACTCAATATCTGACACAGCACTAAGTCAACAAGTAAAGCAATCTAGTCTAGAAGACATGTATTGTTTAAACAGTGTTAATTAATCCTCCTTGGATCTGAAAAAGCACCCTTTTTATGCTAGAAGTAAATGTAATGATGAAATTAATGTATGTTTAATCAAGCAAAGAAGGTTTATCATCTGCACACTTGTCCATAACTGCTACTTAAATCAAAGGAAACTAGAGTGAGGTCTAGAAAAATTACTAGAACAGAAGTATCCACCAAAAAATCCAGAAGAAAATCTCCTTTGGATTTATTTTCTTTATGTTCCAGATACTGTTATGTACATTTGAATCATATCCAATTATGAGAGGAAGATGACGAATGACAGAAAACTATTACAGATTTAGCCTTACCAGGTGGAACTGCTGGATTGATAGATAAAGACTAAAATTTTCTTAACACCATCTTTGTCAACCAATATTTGTACAGTAACTAAATATTTTGTTGAGATCAGAGTTGGAAAATACTTGAATCCATTTACTAACAAAAATGCAAGTTCTCAGATCTGGCCAAATGAGTAATAGTAAAGAATAGCATCTAAATTAAACAAGACTCTTAAACATCCATGACCCCTGTATCAATGTTCTCTTCACTACATGGTGACTCAACATTGCAAAAGTTGTCCCACAATGTTGGAGATTAATTTTATAGTTCTTATATTGCATATTCTTGGAGGGAGCTACATAGATTACAATGAAGCAATAATTGGCCAGTTGTTAGAATCAGAAGTTGCTGATGGAGAATCTGAGTGTCCACCAAGGATCTTAAAAGAAACCCTGATGAATTCCAAAAAAGGTCTGAGACTCAAATCTTCAAGCAACTTAATTAAGGAATATTTGGCCATTATAGTCAGTCACAAAACTAGGCAATAATCATAAGGGCCAAAAAGTCTATCCAGAAATTTACAGTAGTTAGTTGCTAGACCTGAGTTTCCAGTATTTTAAGAATCTGAGGAGGATTTTATGTTTCTTGCCTGGGGTCATCATCAATACTTTCACCATCTTGGGCAGAGAGTAAACCCTGACAACAGTTAAAGGAACTTCCCACAAGCAAAGACCATTCCATATGCCAAGTAACACTTCTCAAAGAGAAGCAAGCCAATCTCAATGATGCTAAGAAAAAGTTACAAGAAACAAAGCTAAGAAACTAAATCTGAAAATCCAGACTTTCAGATTTGTTGATCTTATCTAAGAGAAAATCCTGAATCTGATTTGACAAATCAGGAGAGATACAAATGTTCAGGTAGCCCATAGTTATGCATCATCAACATTCTTTGGTTCTATAGACACTTTTGGATGCTTTGGTTTTAGGTCCACTGGAGAAAGACAGTATACTCAGGATTGAAGCCCAAACACTTAGATATTCCTCCAACCATAGACTGCCATTCTCAGAAATGATAGGGAAGAAGAGGTGGCAGAGGTATCCAAAGACATCTCATTTACTGTCCTCTGTTGTCTTCTCCACTTTGCATTTCTTGATTGGAGTCCACCAGACTTCAAGGAACAGGTTGAGACCCATTCTGGTCAAATATATATTGCCATAAGAAATAGAGATGGCAATGGTGACGGGCCTCCAAAGACACCATACCCACCACTTCGGCTTAGCAGTTTTGGAAGAAGGACCAGAATCAATGGAGATCTTGAAAATAGATATGACAAGGTTATCCTCTTCAGCATCCTGCTGATTCTACCAACACTCCTGAAAGAGTGGAAGATAGAATATCAATTAAATCCTCCGAACCCATTGAGGAACTCCCAACAGACTTCTCACATGTAATATGAAAATCAGTCAGCAGTATCCATGTACAGGTATAAAAATAGAGGAAATGTAAAGTCAGTATCTGCAAAGCCTACAATACAGATGCAAGACTAATTATAATGGGCTGTTGCTTGGTGCCCCAAGGGAATTGTTTTTAGCACCCATTATTCCACTCAGGTACAGTACAAGTCTTTCAAATTGGCATTGGCAAGTGTCCTTTTAGTTGGACCCAGTCATAGCTCTAAAGTTAGAGAAATATCCCACTGAAATATTACAGCACAGATTACCAAGTCTCCCCATCACAACTAGGTGGAGACATTAAGGGGTATAGAATGTAGTATTCTGTTAATTTTTCATATTATTTTGGACTTTTATTCTTAAATTTCTTTTGATTATTTGTAAAATATTTGAATTCGTCATATATCATTAATGTTATTGTATTATTCTATTCTCATTTAAATGCACATTTCAATTTTAAAGTCATAAATTAAATTATTGAGTTCAAATAAAAATATATTCTGTTAATGGCTAATTTTTTAGATTTTTTGCAAGTAATATCTAATCTTAAATCTGAAAAATTTGGAATAATTTCTATAACACATACTGTATAATCAATCACATTGTAATAAACATGTGTGTAGCTTTTATAATTCATTTTTTCTTTATGTTTTACTATAAATAAAACATTTAAAATATAAATAAATGCAGTTCTTTAATAGTTTTATACAGTAAGCAAACATTTTTTTTCCAGAAATTGGTTGTTCCACAAATACCTTTGCTGATACACCTATTTTAAAGAATCCTGTTATACGAACAAAGTCATTAAAAATAACTCCCTTAAAAAAGGTAATTAAATATACTTATATTACATTATAAATAAATTTTTTATATTGTTAGTCTTTGAATATTATTAATAACTAGCTGCAAGGACCCGCTTCGTTGGGTTTTTATTTGTATGTAATATAGTTTTTTTTTATATATAAAAGACTGTTTTCCTAAGTAATCTAGAATCTAGCTGCAAGGACCCGCAAAAACGCAAAAAACCGCCTGTAAATCTTGCATGCCACTTTATATTAACACTTCCTTTGTTACTCAATTACTCAACACTTCCATTGTTAACACTTCCACTATCTATATTCCATTGTTAACATTTTCACTATCTAAAATGTTAACACTATCTAAAATTTTGTCAATTTTAGATAATTTTCCTGAGTCACCCAGCAAACACTTAATGATTTGTACCAAAACATCAGTAATTTTTTTTATCATCCAGTATGACTTCATGACTTCAGCCTGTAACCAGGAGTGATTTTAACATTTAAAGTATGTTAACTATAATACTTTTAACCAGAAAATTGAAAAAAATTGATGATGATGATGAATCATTGATAAAAATCTGGAAAAAATGTTAGCATAAAAAAAAATACTCTTGAAAAAATTGAAATAGTATAGAGAGAGGTTATAAGTTAATAACTAATGTAAGAGCTATTTGACAAAAAGTTATTCCTGAATGTACAAGTGAACACTGATAATCAGTGTTCACTTATACATTCAGTTATGGGTTTGTGCTAGGGTTTGGCAAAATTTAGTATTTTGAGTCTTGACAAGTTCAAAACAAAGTCAAGTCTAAATTTCTATGTTTAAATACTATATATACTATTTCCTGTTTATTGAACTTTGTTATCTGTGATATATTCAAACAAAAAATATCTGTGTTTATAAGGAAGTCCAAATAAAATATTTCTGTCTGGTTTAGTTACTCTTTATTTAGGCATATATATTGAGACTTCAAATATTTAGTAAATATAATTAATTAATTAATTAAAATTCTTATCCTGTTTTACAAACATCTCTTTAATTGAAACTACCAAATTATGCAATAAAACTTTTCCAAAACATTTCAAATGTGTCTAAAATGAACCTCTGTTATATGAAACAAGATATCTTAAACAAAAATCATTTGGTTTGGTTGGATAGAATACATCAATACAACACATGAGTGATCTGTAAATGGGAGATGAATTCCAAGAGGACTTCTTACGAGAAACTGACCCCTATTTAGGTGTTAGACATATGAAGAAAACCTGGAAAACTCCGTATGGCCAGCTCATTGGTCAGGCACAAACCTACAACCACTACCAGTGTTCAGTGGTTCTATCGACATAAACAGAAGCAACCCAACTAAATATTTAAAAAGTTTACTATAAATATGTATAATATTTCACTTATAGATTTTTTTATATTTTTTACCCTGTTGCACTAAGAACACCATATTTTCATACCCATCAAGGGTTTAGGTCCACAATGAGGCAGCTGGATAGTGAGGGATGGGACCCAACTTAACTAGGGTGACCTGCCTATATAAAAATTTCTGGGGAATTGTTTGTCCTGGACTTGATTCCAAGTCTCAGATCAGTAAGCCAATGCCTTAAGTGTCTTGGCCATTTGGCCATTTAGCTTCTGACTTTGAGACCACCTTGAATAATTTCCAAACTTTTGATTTCTATCTGCTTTTTCTTTTAAATGTTTATAAAATAAATAAATGAACATGCATACTCATATTTTGCAAACAGTATTGCCAACAGATTTGTGAAAAATCATTTGGTTATTTTCTGAATCGGCATGCAATTTTTTTTTGTGATTTGGACTACTTTCAACTTTCTTCACTTTTTTCTACTTTCAACTTTCAAGTCTCAAATTGACTTAAAAATTCTGTTGTGCAAGCTTAAAGTCAATATTATATATATTATAACAAAACTAAGCTAGTTGCATTTTAGACTAAGCCTACAATTTATATTTTATTTTTAGAAATTAGTAAAGCTAAAATACAGCTAGGAGGTTATGTTTATAAATTACATTTTGTTTCCTTACATCTTTTCTAATAATTCCTTGTTGATTGATAACCAATGATTTATATTTAATGCTACTAAAAGTATGATCTTTAGACTTGGGCTTGTCAAGTTTTAGATAAAGTATCAAGTCTGAGTAACAATGAAAAGACTCAATGAGTCCAAGAAACAGAATTGAAAAATCCTAGTTTGTGCCTCACCAATGAGCTGGCCATGTGGAATTTTTCAGGTTTTTCTTTACATGTTTAACACCTATGTAGGGGCCAATTTTCCATAAGTCTTCCTGGAAGGCAATCCTTCCCTCAGCAGATCACCCATGTGTTATGTTGCTTTATGTCATCAGTCTATGAGGATTCAAATTTGTAAAAATTATTTAGTTAAAGAACCAAGCTCACTTAGGTCTAACTTCTTTTGTTGTATTAGAAAGTAGTAATAATAAGTATAAAATAAAAATTTTTATTTAAAATAATACACCTTTAAATATCATATTTTTAATAAATGTAATATGATAAAATTTTATTTCTAGTATAAGAAATATATATTGATATGCATTATTATTTATAAATTGCAGATGTCACATACTTCAGCAGAAGCAAAGCTTTCCAATAAAGGTAAAACTTTTTATAACTTAATTGATGTCATATTTTTTATTAATTACATTATTGTAATAAATAAATGTTTTTATTAATAGATGTTAGGACTTCCCAGAATGATTATGAAGCATCTACTACTAGCCAATATGCAAAATTATCTCAGGGTTCCATTTGTAAAAATCAAGAGAGTTAGTTTTATATATTTATTCTCTTGAAGAGAATTTTATGTACTGTATTTTTGAGACTATATTATTTGAGTTTTAAGTTACTGTTTCTTTATTCATGTCACTAAAATAAAATTGTACATATTTTATAAATTGTGTATTAAAATTTTAAAAGTCATTCTGTACTTAGCATTTAGGATATAAGTATCAGCTAACATATTTTAAAATTTATTTATTTTTTCGTGCATGTGTGAACATTATAATATTTTTGTCATTGTGATAAATATACAAGCATACTGAGAATTTATTTTATATGTTTTTTTTTATTTTTTAACATAGTTGCTATGTAACAAAAGTTATACATTATCATTGTATGAGGTAACTTGATCATTTGCTTTTTTTGTTTTTTTTCTTTCTGAGTGTGATGTGCATTATAAACATTTTTTGCATTCCCTTTAGTGTTCCTATATAAAAATGAACAAATTAGTGAGAGGAAAAAGTATTAACAGCTTTTCTAGTTGAAAATCTTTGAATTTTATTACCAAATAAAATAAAACATATTTTTATACATGATATATATTATTATAATAAAAGATATATTGTTTGGCATTCATAAAAATTTGTTACTTAAAAATATATTTGTCAATCAGTTGACAAATTGTTCAAATACTAAAAAGACTTATCTTGTTGATAATTTTCATGAAGGACAATGCATTTTGCATTAAAAAGAAATGTATATGGAAAAACTTTGTATATTTTAAAAACTTGGCTTTTTCCAAGAATTTTAACAAATATATTCTAATTGAAGTATACTTTGATTGTTTATAGTTTGTCAAGATTTATTGTTAGCTTTTAACATGTTAAAGCTGTTTAAAATTTAAAGTATATCTTGTATAACTTTTACAGTTTTTAAATGAATGAGCTCTGTACTAAAGTACTGGTACATTCAAGTTTGTTGTAATATTTTCAAGAAAATCTTGTAAAATAAAGAAAATATTGAAAAGATGGAATATGTATATTTTTTCTGATTATAAAATATAGCTTTAAAAAAACAAAGTACTAATAAAAATTTGGCAGTCAAGAAGTGTTAGAATGTATAGAATTTAATTTGGCTTGGATATTAAAAATATCATGTAATTGTAATTAAATTTCCCTATTCAATGCTGTCTAAAGAGATTATCCAGTTTGATATTGCATTAATATGCAATATCAAACTGCAACTCCAGTTTCAATGGAGGACTCTATCTGAAAAGCAAAAAATTCAAAATCTTAAGATTTTGATTTATTTCACCCCAATTGATGCAAAATGGACAGAAAATATATTTTTAACACATTCAAATGTGTTTCATGCAATTTTCAGGGGTCAAGGAAGCAATAAAGACATAGAATTTAAGAAAATCATTTGTCTCTCCACAGTGGATATTTTGCAGGTTGTAAATGCAGAAGACAATTTATTTTTCAAATTCCAAACTTGAGATCTCAAAAATAAAAAAATAATCATAAATTAGCAAAAATTTTCTTTTTGCAAAATTTAAACGTTGATACATTTGCAACATGTGTTCAAAATGCATCACCAATGACACCTCACAGTTTCTCATTGTTGGCATCTGATGTGTTTTTTTTTGTGCTGTTTGATCATGTTACTTTTTTTGCCATTTGGAAAGGTTCCAAAAGAAGACAAAAGATTTTTCAGGTAAGTCTTAGTCTATATTCAACCTAGATGTAAGGATTTACTTAATAACCCATGGAGAAACGGTCCCAGAAGACATCCTGAACAATTGTTCAATTCTCGATTGTTTTCACTTTCAATTTGAATCTTTTAGATTTAATTGTGGATCTGTGGTGAGCATTTTCTTTTCTTTTTTTACATAATTTAACTTTTTGCTTTCACTTGATTAATTGTAAAATTTTTTTACCATATGATCTTTGAGTTGATCCATAGAATGTTCTCATGTCCATCCAAGTGAAAATGTGCCTCATCAGAAAATCAAGCATTGTTTAGTATTACCTCATTATTTCGCAGAATCTGAGCCTATTAAGTTGTCTAAACTTACACTTGTCCATAAATTACGTCGGTACTTTTCTTGAAATTTTTACTCTCCCTCTCCTCATTGTCCCAGTTTGTCTATGTTTCTGTAACCCCTCTCCTTTTTGGACGTCCAACAAAACTCAACCCCCTTAAAACCTTTATTACTTTATGGGTAATAAAATGCATAAATTATGTAAAATTTAATGAAATAAAAGGGCGTCCATTGAAGTTCAACCTTTCCCCCTGTTAAATTTGTCATAACTCCCTCTCTCCCTTCCAGTGTGAACATCATTTATTGAGAGCTCCAAAACAAAGATCAATGAAAAGCATTCTATTTTTTGATCTTTATTTTCAACTGTAAATTGACAACATAATAATTTTGTATGGATACAAATTCATTTTTCAATATTTACTGTACCGAGCGTCTAAATATCCGAAATTCCTACGTAGTCTGCCTTGAGCAAGCCTTCGCTTCCAGAAGTATATATAATAGATTAGATATAACCTTACTTGGTTAAATACATCACTGACTGGGGGCGACTTCATCGCCCACGACCCTCAATGGCACTCAGCCAGCTAACGTAACACCCGGCGAGGTATATATATATATAAATAACATCAACATAAAGCCCGATTGGTATAGTAGCCCGATTGGTAGTCTGCCTTGTTGATTTATCAGGGCTAAAGTCCTAGATATAAAATGTAAAGCATCTCGTCCGTTGCTAAAGCACTCACTATCTTTAAAGCTTGTAAAATGCAATCTTTCCTTTAAAAAGTAATTTTCTTTTAAAAATAGCCGCCAATAAATTCTTTTTTGTTTGTTTGTATACGATAACACCACACGTTCACGTGAGACGAGACTAGACAGAAAGGAGTCCGAAGAATCCGTCGAGCGTAAAAAGCCTTGGTTGTAAAGGTTGTTTTGCTGCTGGAAAAAATAACCTTTTTTTCTGCTGAGCCTCCTTGCACGGATTTCGACTTTCCACCGAATGTGACACAGCCACTCGGAAGTGACCTTTTACCCGAATATGACACTTTCACCAGGCTACCACTTAATCGACTGGACTTGACTTTCCATCCAAATTTATGGACAAATACTTCGACACCATTCGAGATTCGTTCCTCCACTTCAGTTAAAGTGCATAGAACAACGACAGTGACGTCATGTCTATCGTGGCCAAAGTAACAAGGAAACCTTAAGCAAAAAAACACATTGCAGTCGATATGTGTCCAAAGCAGAATTACTTCAACAATTAAAATTGGCGGCCGGATGGCCGAGCGGTCAAGGTGGCAGCCTACCGCTCTGGGGGACCCGGGCGCGAATCCGAACGGGTCGAAAAATCCCCAGAAATTTTTCGGGGGGTGGTCCGTTCGGATATGTCGGGCCCCGTCCCTCACCACCCAGCAGCCCCATTGTGGGCCTGGCCGAACCCATAATGGGCCTGCAAAAAGTGGCCCTCTTAGTGCCCACAGGGCGGAAAGAGTTAAAAAACAAAAAAACAAAAAATTAAAATTGTACATGGAATTTTCACGATTGTATGTAAATTTTTATATTTAATAAAACTTATTAAATTTCATATTAACTGTTTAATAATTATTTAAAGATTAGATATTTATCGAAGTTGCGAATTTTTACATTAATTTATAATTAATAATAATGTTTCCTCTACTTAGTAACAACCGGTCAAACATAACTTGTTTGACGGGTTATTCGCTCTGTTTTTCGCTTTCGCTAGTGAATCGCGCTCAGTGTGAACTAAGCTTTAAAAAATCCAAGTTCGATTGATATGGGATTCGAACCCGACCTCTCATATCTGAAGGATTATCGCACGGAAAGACTAATATTTAGAAATGTCTCAAAAATTCGACCTTTATTTATGAAAATAATTTATATTCATTGACTCATTGACTCAATCTTTTAGTCAATTCACTGAATTTTTCCTTAAAACAGAACTGTTTTTTAATATATAGTTGGTTTGCTGTATGTTATATTAACAATGTAAATTCGTCTCTGTAATCCAAAACACACGCTTTGGTAGACGTATCTCACAGCAATTTCTGGTTAGCAAATTTAACTTTTATTTTTCATTGAACTACAAATATATTTCGGGTTGGTATAATATACTCCAACCCCTCTTCAGTGCTAGTTCAAATAAACAAAAAGTGTTAAAACATGACTATGTTATATTACATTAAATGAAACAAACCAAAAAACACTAAAAACACTTACATTTTTTCATTAAGTACACAACAAAAATTGTTTCTTATTTTGCTTTTTCACAAATTAGGAGGTAGGAGGGTAGACCGTTTACAAACATCAATTTATGTTTTAACTTAAATACTATGCATACCATATTAATATGTAAAATACAAAATAAAGATTGCTATAGTTTAACTCGAAGGAAAAATTGATACTAAGGACGGATGAATTCAACGTCTGTTCTCCAGATGTCCAGTCTGCAAGGTGGGGACTTTTCACTCCTCTATCCCCTGACCAAGTGNTTAATTTTTAAAAGTTTGTGTGTACCACTCCCCTTAACCCCACATCTGCAATGGTCATAAATTCGGAGAACCAGGGGAAGAGATCACTTGGTCAGGGGATAGAGGAGTGAAAAGTCCCCACCTTGCAGACTGGACATCTGGAGAACAGACGTTGAATTCATCCGTCCTTAGTATCAATTTTTCCTTCGAGTTAAACTATAGCAATCTTTATTTTGTATTTTACATATTAATATGGTATGCATAGTATTTAAGTTAAAACATAAATTGATGTTTGTAAACGGTCTACCCTCCTACCTCCTAATTTGTGAAAAAGCAAAATAAGAAACAATTTTTGTTGTGTACTTAATGAAAAAATGTAAGTGTTTTTAGTGTTTTTTGGTTTGTTTCATTTAATGTAATATAACATAGTCATGTTTTAACACTTTTTGTTTATTTGAACTAGCACTGAAGAGGGGTTGGAGTATATTATACCAACCCGAAATATATTTGTAGTTCAATGAAAAATAAAAGTTAAATTTGCTAACCAGAAATTGCTGTGAGATACGTCTACCAAAGCGTGTGTTTTGGATTACAGAGACGAATTTACATTGTTAAGAATTGTTTTTATCTATTAATTAAATCGGAGTCCGTTAAATCGAGCGCCTATTAAACATTTTGGTTCCTTATCGTTAAAATGATTTTTTAATAAATAAAATTTTATTTTATAATTATTTAGTTTTAAGTTAATAATATTACTTGAAATATTAACACATAAAAAATATATAAAAAAATAAATTATATATATATTTTTCAAAGTTTGACATTTGTTAACGACAGATGGCGATCTTTGTGGATTAATCAGAAGAGGCGAGTAACAAGGGAGTGTTCTTTACTGTTAAATATGGTAAATGTCTATTATTTACTTTTATTCGATACTTTATATAATATTGCATTAAAAATTTGATGTATAACCGATAAAACTCGTGAAAATGATCAGAGTAATGGTATTTATATGTATTGGTTCAATTGTACAGATTAAATTTAGGTGAAATCATCGTTAATCTTTGGTAAAAACGTCATGGAAGGAAGTGATTTTGTTTCATAAATCACTTCATTTAATGAGTGGTGACCATATAAAGCTCAATAGAACTCGTGTATTATTTTTTGGAGGAAATTGATTTAAAACTATAGCTAGATTTTTCCAAATTAATATGACATTTCAAATTTACATTGCTCTGTTTTAATCTTCAATTAATATTATACACAATATACAGCACTATAAAACATTAATGAAAAGCTTAATTGATTACTTTTCTTCCACACCTGCCATTAATGATGTCAAAAGAATTTCATAAATACTATTACTCCTAAAAGGTGGTATTGTTGAGTTTTTAAAAATTTGAACCATTACGGCTGGTAAAAACTAAAATGTACAATTGTATTACCGTCGACGAATAAAATAAGCCAGTTTGTGCTTTTGGAACATAAAATGCTGTTTCTCGTAAACTACAATCTTCAAAAAACAGCACACTTATAAAGCGAAAGTGTATAACTAAATAATTGACACTGTCGACAGCCGAAAATGTTCAAGCAGTAAATTTGTGTTTATGTACTGGTAATTGCATTTAAGTGTCAATTATTTAACTACAATCTTGTTTTCCTGTTTTTTTAATGAAGCAAAACTCTATTAAAACAATAGCTTTGGGCCAGTTGATAAGTGCAGTTGAGAGATCATTTTGAATTATGTTTGCTTACTGTTTTAATGCTACTTTGTTACCAAGTTTGGTAACAAAGTAGCATCTTATTGGAAAGTTTTAACTAAAAAAGAAAGATTTTTTTTTTTATGGATACATTCTTTATTTGCCATATATTAAGCTATGTTCTTGAAAAATATTTTTAAATTAAATCTAAATGCTGCAGTATATTAGGCCACTTAGTGTCTTAAATAGCATTGCTGTAAAAGATTGCTGAAGCAATCTTTGATTGATATTCTGAGTAAACCAAAATAGAAACTTATGCTAAGAATATAATATTACGAAGAAAATAAATTCAAATAAATACCGGAATAAAATGATTGGAAATTAATGCATGTAATTATTAGATACAGAGAAGAGATTGTAGGATGCATAATATAATTGTTCCACTTTCATATTATTATTTGTTAATAAGGAAAAAATATATTTTAGAAATTTAAAAAAAAAACTTTTTCAGTTATATAAATGCCAATAAGTTGATAAATTTTTAAAAATTATTTTGGATATCATTCAGTGTTTATTCTTAATAAGTACCTGGCCCACCTCTTTAAAAAATTATTTTGTATATTTTATACTAGCAGACCCCACCACGCGTTGTTATGGCTCAAAATGTATCTATTATAAATGTATAACACTTCCTCGTGGGGAAATTTTCCGAAAAATCCCTTTTTAGTGTATATTCTCTTGATGTACCCTATTAAAAAAAACCACATCTAAAATAGTATAAATAGAAGCCAAGTTCTTCACAATAAGTCTTAATCCTGTCCATCTCCTCCCAGTGGGGGGAATTTTAACATGTATATTATATAAAAACACATGCGTATTCGAATGCAATGTTGTGTCAAAATTTCAAAGGAATCGGTAGGAACAAACGAACATTACATTTTTATTTATATAGATAGATAGAAGATGATCTGCTTTAGTTCATCCTCACAGAAAAGCAAACTTAGGTCGTCGTACTCATGGAGTTAGCGTCATCTGTTGGACATAAAAGCCTTAATCCTAGATGATATCTTTTAATTTATATGAATGTTTAACGGAATAATATAATCCTATGTCCACCCTGAAGTTCCATTCTAAATATTGGTGAAAGAATTTTTGAAATCGGATGAGTAGTTTCAGAGATTACTTTCTATATCCAAACTTACAAACTTTACCTCTTTATAATATTAGTATAGATTTGAAGTATGTTTTTCAAGTTTGCATTACATAAACACAAATGTACAGGTAACCCCCGTATAACACGGTAGTTACGTTCCAAAAAATTGCCGTGTTATACGAAACAAAGAACTAGTACGAAAAGGAGGGTTTGGTTCCAAAAATTAAAAAACATGCTACTATATTTTCATAATTAAGATAAATATCGTTATTAAAATTTTCTTAAGTGATACATATTAATATAAACAATGTTTTCTTTGTCATCACTAAAAGCACTATTAATCGAGAGCATTTTATTTTTGGCAAGTTATCGTTATCCTCTGAGCATTTTTCTGCATTATTTTCAGATTCATGCTTTACCTTTTGCAAAAAGTGTATGTAATTTTAGATTGCTTGCTTCTAGTTAAAAGATCTTTATAAATTTCCTTATATGGTGCTAAGCACTTATGGAATAAGGGAAAAACATCTGGCAACACCAGAAGCAGAAGCGTCGAGATCTGGCAAAATTGAAACAATTTTCGCGAAGGACCATGTGTATGGAGACGAGAAAAGAAAATTTACACACTGAAGTACTAATAGTTCACGAAAATAATAATTTTCGTGAACTATTAGTACTTAAGTATTTAAAAATTTATTACATTTCATGTTGTACGAGGGTTTTACCCATTTCTCGAACCGTGTCAGAGTGAATCCGTGCTATAAAAGTATCGTGTTATACGGGGGATGGTACCAATTCTCGAACCGTGTTAGAGTGAATCCGTGCTATAAAAGTACCGTGTTATACGGGGGATGGTACCAATTCTCGAACCGTGTTAGAGCAAATCCGTGCTATAGAAGTGCTGTGTTATACGGGGGTTACCTGTATATGTAGATAAAGAACTACTAATATTTTCAGTGTTAAAGATTTTATGGTCACGTAATAAGTTCAGGCTAATGGAAGATGACCCGAGTTTAGATGGTGATTGATCAAATTTTTATGATAAAAGAAATGACTCAATCATAAAATCTTTTTCTTGGAACTATAGTTATGTAACTAAAATTTGAGAAGTATATTTTTAATTTTTTAAACAGATGATGGCATTTTCACAACTTAACATTTAAATTGTTAAAAGGCATCTTGAAAACAATTTTTTTAATCTGTTAAGTCTTGACAAAGCTGGTTTAAAAGTAACAAGTAATACAATAAATAATTCTAGGCTTTAACATTATTGACTTGTTAAAATCTGGCCCAAAGCTAGCTTAAAACATCTTATAATATGATATTCTAGTTTTCTAAATACTATTTATTTGGATGAATACTTTCAATAGATATTTTATTTTTAATTTCTATACATACACTATGTAGAACATATTGCAAGAAAGCATATCTTCTAAACTAGTGATTCCCAAACTTTTTTAAGCCACTGCCCTCATGGTTCCATAAAGTTCCATAAACCCCCAACTATATCCCAAGGCCTCCTAATCCATTTTCCCATGTGTGAGAAAGGCTTGGAAATATTCTTAGGAAAACTTATATGAACCTCACACGTTGTGTCCTTACAAAACATTGTTCTCAACATCTGGAAATCCCATTAAACAATGTTTTTTCCTACCGTTTTAACAGAGAAAAGGGAAAGGTTGTCAGTGATCCCAACCTTTGCCTATGGCACCATTTATTACTCTGTTTCCAGTATTCCTCTGCCTCCTCCTTGCTTTTTGCTCTCCTGGATTTACTTACTGTCCATGGGGATGGTAGTACCCACTTTGGGAACCACTGCTCTAAACTAATGATGAGAAACTTTTTTTGGATGAGGGCCACAAGGGAACTTCATGGGTTTCTGACGGGCTGCATACATTTTTTTTTATGGAGTTGCAGGCTTTAAGCCTGCTGAGAACCAACAAATACTCCATAACTGCCAGTATACTGAAATAATATATGCTAATGATATGAGAACTAACTTTGTTATGTGTAGTTTATTCTAATATAAAGCCAGACAATCTGTTGAATTATTATGCTATAATAAGGCTAATAATTTGATAGGAAGTAGTTTATCTAGAGGTAGTTGGTTAAGTTGTCATCTCATGATAATTTTTCATGAATCTTTTCTTCCAGAAATTCTAAATTAAAATTATCCTGAGATGGTGGCTTAACCAACTACCTCTAGACAGATTACTTTGTATCTAATCGAATCGTTAGAATCCAATAATTTGATAGATTGTCCGGCTTTAATCAAAAATTGGAGTTGTTATTTATTCTTATCAATTTTCACCAGTTAAGTTTAGTTTGAATGCTGTTTATCATGAATATCTGTTTAATTATGGCACAAAACAGAAAACAGGAAGATAGAATTACATTGCAAAGCCCAGAGCCTCATATTAGGAGGACCTTGTGGGTTGTGAGTTGCTCATGATTGCTCTGAACACAGCAAAAACTCATTAAAACAATAAGAATTATGAATACATAAATTTTATTTTATTGGCTGTTAAAGTAACAGAGGGACTTTAAGTATTATAATTGGTCAAATTTTGACCCTTCTAGTTTTTGTGTTTTTTGATGTTTTAATGTATCCAAACATCCAAAAACAAAAAAATCGGAACAAACTTCCATGTATGTGTATTTTGCTTTAAATCAGGACCCTATGGCCAAAAAGTTTTGAAATATGGCAGGAATACTTCTGTATATGTGGCATTGAAGCTATTACATTTTGGAGATTATAAAGTCAAGAGGATAGAAGGGTAGAAATCACATCTTGAGTGGACTCAGACTTAATGAAAATTTTACTTGTTGGCATTACTGATTATGCATTCGTATGACTGTACACATACATGTTGGATGCCTTTTTTTAAACACCTACAAATGTTGGCATTTACAGTTTTTTAAAACACTCTCCTAATATCCCCCAAAAAATGAGCTTTTTGCCTTTTACTTTTCTGGCTGTTATATATATATAACAGAGGGAAATATGGCAATCAGTCAAAAATGATCCCCCAGAATTTTACATTTTTGGACTCA